CCGGCGCCGTCCTGCTCCACGCGCTGGCTGCTCGGACTTGCCGGGCCCGGCACATAGAACAGGGCGGTGCCGGATGTTGGAGAAGCCGAGCAGAGCCGAAGCCACCTCGGCTCGCGTTGTTTTCTAAGCCCGCGAGCCTAGAGCCAGGGCGCTTTCATTGCACGGCGGAGCTTCTTGTCTCAGGAAAAACCGGGCGTCGTTGCTGCCCCCTGAGGGGAGGGCGATTCTGGGCTGCGCGATTGGGGGACTTTGTGGCTTTGGGTGGGAGCGAGGACGGACAGAGTATGTGAAGTGGGGCTTGCCTGCCCTTGCTGGCTGCCTCTGCTTCCTTAGGGGCGGGGAAGGGGGCTCATCTGGACCAAGGGTGAGTCTCCCCCTCAGTTTCCCCTGAAAGATCTTCCGTCGCTTTTGCCTTCTCCCTACATCTCCGCTCCCTACATGTCCGGCTGGGGCTGTCGGGAGTTGCTGCCGCCAGTGCGGCTCCGGTCCCGCGTTGCCTTGGGAAGGGTGGGGCAAAACCAGGAGCCACTGAGCCTGAGCCTCCGGTGCCGCTGCTGCTGTTGCAAAGCGCTGCCGCGGCTCTTCCTTTTTGCCTTTCCCTTCCCGAGGCGACGCGGGACTGGGGCCGCGCCGGCGGTAGTGACTCCTGACTCAGGGGGCCTCCGAGGGAGGGGAAGAGAGTGACTCCTGCCTCCTGCTGTCATCATTATCTTCTTTTGGGTTAGTGAATCAATTAAACCTTTCATGATAGTGAGATCGTTTCCCAAATTAATTATTTTTATTTTTGAAATTTACCAGTAGCTGCTGCATTTCCCACCCTCGGCTTATACTTGAGTCAATAAGTTTTCCCAGTTTTTTGTGTAAAATTAGGTGCCTCGGCTTATATTCGGGTCGACTTATACTCGAGTATATACGGTAAGTGTACATTTGCCCTACATCTACTGCTTAAAATACGGTGTGTCTGAAGATCTGTTCAAATACCTCAGAAGGAGAAATGAAAGAGCGTAAAGTTGATCACGATTAGGGGGAAAAAATGCAAATAGATATCTGAAACATAGACATCACTGTGTACAGCCACTGATTCTGAATCATTTGCTAAGCCCTTGCTGGCTAATAGCCCTTAGGTTTCAGCTATGTTTCCTTTCTTCAGCTATTGCCAACCTTCATCTATGATAAAGATGTTAAATTTGCCCAGTCGATTAATTCACACAATTCATCCGTTCAATCCTCACATTCTTTAACCCCGGGCATGACAGAAGGGCATCACGCTCTGGTCCTCGTCCCTTCTCTAAGTTGTGTGCCTTACATGCATAGCCCATCTTGTGTAGCAAAGGCCTGCATGTAGCTTTTGTGCTGATTTATTTCTGATGGTAAGATTTTAATCCATAGAGCAGTGTGAATGCTAAGGCAATGTGATTTCTCAGCAGGAAGATGCAACATGATGCCTCTGTTTTATGTAATCCCTTAAATCCATCACAGGCCTCGGCCCCTCAGGAATTTATATGCAAATGACAAGACTGCCTGTTGATGAGTTTAGCTGGGACACAGCCAAACATTCTGCAGTTTCTTGCACAATGGGAAGCTTCTGTTCATGTCACTAGCTTTGGTTCAGAATTCCTTTTCTTTTTCTTCTCCACGGAAGAACTTGGCTGATGTTTAAAACAATCACCAGAAATGTTAACGTGCCTTTTTGGCACCCAAAGCCCAGGTCCTCCCTGTCGCTTTTCAGAATCAACACAAATTATTTCTGCTGCTCCTTACTTGAGCATTGTAGCTTTTGACCCCAGATGCTCCGAATAGCGAGCATCCTTCTCTTCTTTTTGCTTATCTTGGCCCTGGTCTCTGGGGACAGCTGCACGGGTGCCTGCTCGGAACTCTTGGAAGTATATAACAACAAATGTGTAAAACAATATTTCCAGAAGGGAGCCTTCAGAATTAAGTTTGCTTTAATTCTATCTGAAAACTTTATAGCATTTGGAAGGTAATTAAATCAACCAAAGGAACATGCAATTAATAACGGATGACACTTGGCTAGGAAAAAAAGACAACAGAAAGGTGCTGTTCCGAGCCTACATTGGATTTCCAGGCTACAACGATATTGTTATAGCTGCTGACCAAAACTACACTCACTCCTGCTTCCTCCTTTCCTGCAGAACATCTAACGTGGTAAAATACCTGCTGTGTTGTCATCATCCTTAACAATTCTTCACATCACTTCCCTCATGATTACTGCATGTTGCTAGGGAGAAGGACAGAAGAAAGGATTGCCTTTTTGTGACAGGGAATTTTAATGTCGAGCGCTAACAAAAATGTGGCTGTTGGTTCGTTGTTGCTCATTTACATAAATGTATGTAAGCTTGAGAGTACAGTGGTGAAACATAGGTGGCTTTGTGTTTTGGGGGCCGGGGGTCTGGAGCCAACTCACTAGATCAACCTCTGCTAAAGGGTAGACATGATAAAATGAATATAAAATGAAGAAAAAAAATCTTGGGTAGTGATGAGAAAGCTGGTCTTTGTTCTGGGCAGCCGCAAGATGTCTAGAGTTTTTCAACTGTCTCTGGGTTCTTACGAGCTACTTCGTCAAAAGCCTTCTTGTGCAAGACCTAATGGGGATGTTCTCTTACTTTGTTCTAGGAGAAGGGAAGGTATGAAGGCCGATTACTGAGTATGCTAGAACAATCTGAAAACAAGACTACAGGTAGGAAAGTCAGCATTCCTGTATTGACACCATTTAGGTTGAGTCATAGAAAAAGGCTTGTTCTCAAACAATACAGTATAACAAATGGACAGAGGGCCTTTGTGTTTCTTCCCATTGCGTGTATATCAGGTCAAAGTTAAATATTTGTATAACAGGATTTCTCTTGACTTTAATGAAGACAGGAATCATTCCTGGGAGTCCCAGTGAGATAATATTATGTGATTGTGTGTATTTTACAATAAAAGAAGAGAAGCCCGTTGTGCTCCTTTTCCTTGTGTCATATAAAGGTATGCATTAGAGAAGCCTGCAACTTCAAACAATGCATAAATTGCCCCATATCGCCTACCAAACCGGAAAGGAGGGTGGTGTTTAGAATGAGTTTACTACCAGATGTTGCAGTTTCTCTGCTTGTCCGCTGGGATGAGCCTTGCTGATCTCGACACAGAGGCCATCGCCAACCTGCTGAAGTCATTAAGATCCTGTGGTGTATTATATTCCAGATGCAGAGATGGCTGCTCCACCATCCAGAAGAGAAGACTCAAGGTTAGTTACTGCTCTTTCTCTATTATAGGCTCTTCTTTCAGTGGCTAAATGGGCTCTAGCAATGCTCCTTGTCACTCATTTCCAGTGCTGTTTTTTCAACAAAGTGGAAAAGCTAAATAAAATGAAATTCCGTCGGAAGCTAGTTTTTAGCCTTGAAGGCAAAGTCTACTCCTTCTGCTGGAATTCAGTTAAACAATGTTCTTTTTTCCTTAGAACCAAAACCTGAATTGCATTAGACAGGAGATTTCTTTTCTTAAACTTGTGGAGGGCACATGGTGAGTGCAACAATATGTTAGTTTGCTATAAGTTTATTACTCATAAACGAATTAGCAGCTCCTTATCTCAATCTTTTGCAATTTGTATTCAGGCCTCGTTTGGGGACTGAAACTGCTTTGGCTACCACGGTGGGTGACCTATATTAGGAAAGATTTCTTTATTAATTCCTCTGAATTTCTCTGTATTTTGTTTTAGTACCATCCATCCACTGGACTGGGAGCAGTGCTTTGTAACAGTGTTTTTCTTTCCCAGATGTAATTCCAGAAACCAATACTTCTATTTAACTGCTTGACTTTTAATCTGTCGATCTGCTCTCTGCTTAAAATATACCTGAGCTACAGTGGCCCATTAGTTTGCATACTATCAATATTTATTTATTTATTTTGTCAAGCAATTATAAGATAACAGGTATAAGTATAAATATAGTTATGGATACATGAAATGGATACATATAAGAAAAATAAAAAAGAAACAATAGGACAGGGACGGTAGGCACGATTGGTGCGCTTATGCACGTCCCCTACAGGCCTCTTAGGAAAGAGGTGAGGTCAATAGTAGACAGTCTAAGGTTAAAGTTTTTGGAGTTTGGGGAAGAAACCACAGAGTCAGGTAGAGTATTCCAGACATTGCCATATAATGGTTGTCAGTATTTTTGCAACCTGGATATGGAATGCTTAGTGATATGTAGTACTATGTGAATGGGCGTTGGTCCTTACCTGACACGCCACTTCTCTTGGAGCTGGGAGGATCGTCCAGTGATGGGTGGAGCTTCAGTCTCTGCTGTTGTAGGCTGAGCTTAATTTCCAAGGGACGCCTCCTTCTTCCATCACGTGTCCAGTCCTGGCGTCCCAGTTTATGCGAAGACGAGGAGACCCGGCAGTCGTGCCCTCCTCTTACTAAACTTAAAGTGCACTGGCCAAAAACAAGACCCCCTCCAGACGGTGAAATAGACAAGAAAGAAAAGGGAGGGGCTGGACGATCCTCCCAGCTCCAAGAGAAGTGGCGTGTCAGGTAAGGACCAACGCCCATTCTCCTTAGAGCTGGTCGGATCGTCCAGTGATGGGACATACCAAAGCTGGGGCCTGTCCTATGGGAGGGACACCGTCTGGTCTGTTGACTCATCAGGATCCCTAAACACCTTTTGGAGGACCCTTCTTCCGAAGGAGGCCTCTGCCGCTGCATACCTGTCAATCTTATAGTGCCTAATGAAGGGTTGACGGGGATGCCCACGTTGCTGCCCGACAGATGTCGAGTATTGGGGCCTGTGTGGCCCAGGCAGCTGAGGTAGCCGCACTCCTAGTTGAGTGAGCTGTAATTCCCTTGGGCACTTGTAGGGCCTGGACCTGGTACGCCTTGGAAATGGCCGCCCTGATCCAACGGCCTATGGTGGTGGAAGGTACCTTGAGTCCCTGTGACTTTGGTTGGAAGGATATAAACATGGCCTCGGATTTACGAAAGGACTGTGTGCATTTAATATAGATTCGCAGGGCCCGTCTAACGTCTAAGGTGTGCCATAGGGTCTCCCTTTCATGGGTTGGCCTGGGGCAAAAGTTAGGGAGGATAAGTTCCTGAGCCCTGTGGAAGACTGAGTTAATTTTTGGTAAGAAGGAAGGGTCGAGTCGGAGGACTACCCGGTCTGTGTGGAAGATGCAAAGATCCTTTCTAATTGATACAGCAGCGATCTCTGAAATCCTACGAGCTGATGTGATAGCGACCAGGAATACTACTTTATAAGACAGGAACTGAAGAGGCACCTCTCTCATAGGTTCAAAGGGTGGCCTAGTGAGAGAAATCAGGACCTTATTGAGGTCCCAAGTGGGATAACGGTGAATGGACGGTGGACGTAAGTTCGTGGCCCCTTTCAGAAAGGCTTGGATGCGGGGATGGTGAGAGAGGGAGGAGACCTTTTCGCAGGAAATGACGGTGGATAGGGCTGCCACCTGACGCCTTAGTGTATTGGGGGATAGACCCTTACTGAGCCCCTCTTGGAGGAAGTCAAGGATTTGGGCGACTGACAGTACCTTTGGGTCGATGTGGAGACTGGAACACCACTTGCGGAAGGAGTCCCAAGTGGCGTCATAAATCCTTGTAGTGGAGGGACGCCGGGCTGCTAAGATGGTATTAATAACCTCAGTGGAAAGGTTCTCTCTCCTCAGACGTTCCCGCTCAACCTCCAAATGGCTAGTTGGAGCCATTGGGGGTCCGGGTGGAGAAGGGGGCCTTGGGACAGGGAGATCCTGTCTGCTGGTATCCTCCAAGGGGGGGCTGTGGAAAGACTGCGGAGGTCCGCGAACCAGGAGCGACGGGGCCAATAAGGAGCTACCAGGATCAGTTCCGCCCTCTCGTGGAGTATCTTCTGGATGACTTTGGGGACCAGAGCCAGAGGAGGAAAGGCATAAAGGAGGCCAGAGGGCCACGGGCATCGTAAGGCATTGTAGTTCTCTGCCCCTGGTGTCGGGAATCTGGAGATGAACCGAGGGAGTTGGGCATTGGATGGAGAGGCGAACAGGTCTATTACTGGCAGGCCGAAAATCATGGCTGCTTCCCTGAACAGGGCCGGGTGAAGGCGCCACTCCGCCTGGTCTATGGTGGCCCTGCTTAACCAATCTGCTCGGGTGTTGTCGATGCCCGAGATGTGATCTGCTGTGAGGGAAAGAAGGTGTGACTCCGCCCATCGGCAGAGGCGCTCGGTCTCCCTCATTAGACTCTTTGACTGGGTGCCCCCTTGCCTGTTGAAATGAGCCTTTGCTGTTATGTTGTCTGTAAGGATGAGAACGTGACAACCCTTTAACTGAGGGAGGAAGCAGCGGAGGGCCAGGTGGATGGCCCGAAGCTCTAGCCAATTTATATTGCACCTGCTCTCTGTGGCTGACCATTTTCCCTGAGCTGTGCTGGACCGCAGATGGGCGCCCCATCCGGACAGACTGGCGTCTGTGGTGACGGTGATTCTTGGGGGCTCCTTGAGGGGGCAGCCCTTGTTGATCGACGCCTTGTTCCACCAAAGGAGGGAGGTGAGAACCCTTGGCAAGACCTTGACCTTGCGTCGGGAGTTGCTGGAGCCGGCTCTTTGGTACGGGAGCAGGAACCACTGGAGGGACCTGGGGTGGAATCGAGCCCAGGGGATAACGGAAATACAAGAAATCATTTTCCCTAGTAATTTTGATAGTTCCAGGAGAGGGACCTTCTTTAGCCGTCTGATAAGTTTTACTGATTGCTGGATGCTGAGTATCCTCTCTGGAGAGATGAACACCCTTGCCCTAACTGTGTCTATGATGGTTCCCAGATGGGGTAACCTGGTGGAAGGGGTGAGCTGGCTTTTCTTCCAATTTATTTGGAAGCCGTGTTCCTGGAGGGCGGAGAGGGTAATGAAGGTGTCCCTGGTAGCCTGATCCCTGGAGGAGGATAGGATGAGAATATCATCCAGGTAGCAGTGGAGCCATACCGGGATGGTTCTGAGGTGTGCAGCCAGAGCGGCCAGGATCTTGGTGAAAGTCCTGGGGGCGGAGGCCAGTCCAAATGGGAGGGCCGTGTACTGGAAGTGGCGATTGTTGTAGCTAAAACGCAGGAATTTGTAGTGGGAGGGTCGGATTGGGATGTGTAAATATGCCTCAGAGAGGTCAATGGAGGACAACCAATCCCCCTGTCTAATCCCCGAGAGGATGGATTGTAGGGTGTTCATTTTGAATCTACGATAAACCAGGTAGCGGTTTAGACGTTTTAGATCCAAGATGGCTCTCCATCCCCCTGAGTGTTTGGGCACCACGAATAAGTGAGAGTAAAACCCTTGTCCCCTTTGGGATGGAGGGACTGGCTGGATGGCCTGTATCTCCAGTAGATGCCGAATTGCTGCCTCCATGAGGCTGCGTTTGGTGTGGTTTTTAGAAAGGGGGCATGCCATGTAGAAATCAAGGGGGATGGAGAAGAATTCGAGGGCAAGGCCAAATCTGACAGTATCCCTGACCCAGGCATCTGAGGTGGATGAGTCCCACTGGTTGGCGAAGGATTTGAGTCGTCTGCCAATTGGGATTAAATCGGGAGGTTTATCTGGAGCACCTGAAGGGCCTGGTGCCGGAGCCGCGAAAGGGCCTCTTAAAGTTTCCCCCTCTCCTGTGTCTGTCAAAGGAGTCAGACCTATCCTGGGGCTGTCCTGAACCAAAGTGGGGGGGGGGCTTTGGTATCTGGGAGGGAAGGGGGGTTGGGGTTAGGGACGAAAGGAAGACCTCCGAAAGGGCTGCAGGGGTCTGTGATCTGACTTACAGGCGAGGGATGGGAGGTACTTCTTCTTGTTCCTTCCTTCAACTAGGAGAGGATCCAGGGAAGGGCCGAATAGTTTATTTCCCGTGAGGGGAGCGGAGGCTAATTTCATCTTATTTTTGAGATCCGCCTGCCAGTGCCTTAGCCAGAGCAGGCGGCGGGCAGAGACATGTGAGGAAATGGCGCGGGAGGAGAATTTCACGGAGTGAAAAGTAGCATCAGCTGAGAACTCTGCCGCGGCAGTGATCTTAGCTATGTCTTGATGGGCACGTGTATTAGAAGTCGGGACATGTTGCTTAAGCTGGCGGAGCCAGCGGATAGAAGATCTGATGAAAAATGAGGCGGCCGTGGCTGCCCTGATCGCCCACGCGTCTGATTGGTGAGCTCGACGCAGGGCCAGTTCCGACCTCTTTTCTTCCAGCCTGAGGGCCTCCAGGGGGTCACTGAGGGCGGAAGAAGAGGCTAGGCTCGCGACAGGCTCGTCAACCTCCGGAGTATTTAACAAGTTGGACAGCTCAGGGTCAAGATTAAAAAACCGCTTATCATGGGCTGAAGGCGCTGGGGGGGCGGTAGAGGAAGCCAGTTGCTTGGAGATAAGGTCCAAGAATATGGGGGGGGCTGGGATGACCTCAGCCTCCACCACCGGCTGCTTGAACATGGAGTCCTCTAGTGCTGCCAAGTCTGAGGGAGAGGGAGTAGGAAGGCCTTGGGTGGTTAGACCCGAGATGTTCCTGGCCTTGTAGAGGAGTGATTTGAAAAGCTGAGGCTTAAAGAGCCCTGCGAAGGCGGGAAGGTCAGGGGTGAGCCCCTCGTCCTCGGACATTTCCGGCTCTGACGGGTCAGAGTCCGGGAGGGGTTCGTCGAATGGGAGCGACCCCAACTCAAATTGTTCCTCCCCCTCTAATGCGTACAGATCTAGATCCCCTGCCCCCTCCTCATCGTCCTCCCTAACTGAGAGAGAAGCTGTCTCCTGAAGGGGTATCTGTTCGTGGGAGTGGAGAGGGGATGGTCTTACGGTTTCGGTGGTTTGTGTAGGCCACTCTGGTCTGGCTATCCTCTGCATTCCCTCCACAATCCCCTGGCAGATGGCCAACTCCATCCAGGCTCTGAGTTGTTCCGGGACCGCCTGAGGTAGAGTGTCTTCCTGTCGCAGGCCCGCGGCCGTTGGCGTGAAAGTAGCCTCTGGAGTTCTCCTGGGTGTTGTTCCGGAGTCCTGTTGTGCCTGGAGGGAGGGAGAGACTGCGGGAGGGGGAGGGAGAGCAGAGGTAGAAGGGGTGGCTGGTGCTAGGAGCACTGCACCGGACTGTTTGGCGCGCTTTTCTATCTCTTTTTCTAGCGCCCTGTGTCGCCTTAGGGCCTCCTGTTGGGAGGCTTTAGTGGGCTCTTTAGCCTGACTGCGCAGGTGTCTGGTCTTTTGTTTGGCCTTTAAGGAAGGGCCTTTTGAAGGATTGCCTTCTGACATTCTGGATGATTGAAAACGGTGTGGATCAAGAGTAAGGTAGTTGGCACCTTAGGGGTCGACCTGCAATTAAGGCCGGGAGCCCTGGGGAGCTATGCGTGTCCCCCCCCGATCAATCAGTAGGATCAATGAATTGGCCTGGTAAAAGGCGTTACTTTTTTTTCTGCTTCTTTTCTTTTTTCTGCTTTTCTTTTTTTTTTTGGATTATATGATCAGAAAAAAACCTTTATTCTGTTTGAGATTTGAAAGAAGCTGCTGCCTCTTCCTTTCCTCTTGCTTCTTCTTCTTTTTTTTCTTTTTTTTTGAAATTCGGCTGTTTGGAAACTGCAAGTGCCCTGAAGGGCAATACACAAGGCCTGCACCAGACTGCCTTCCCAGACAAAAGGAAACTGGGTGGGAGTGGTGGATAGGTTACCGCGGCCGCTACGGCTGGCCGCGGGTGCTAAAACACTGTAGAAATTCAATCAAGCAATCCAAGCCTCCAATGATTCTTAGAAGAAATAAAGAGCACCAGAAAACACTGTAGAGCAGGCCTACGGATCCTGCTGTCCTTGAAATTAGGCCGCAGTAAAGATCGGGTTGATAAAGGCCTCACAAAATGGCGGCCGGCCACGAGGCGGAGCCAAAATGGCGGCCGCAACTTCGAGGGCCTGCAGGGGCCTAGCAGCAGCAATGGAGGCCTCCCTAGGGGCGATCTGACTCCCCAGGGGAAGGAGTTCCAAAGAAACGAGGCTCAAACGAAATTTAGTTGTATAAGTAAATCGGAGGCGGGGGGGAAAACGGAACGAAAGGAGCCTTTTAAAACGAACGGAGACAAAACAAACGGCAGCAAGGCAAAGGGAAAGGGTGGGGGGGCAGCCTGTAAAGGGTGCTAGCCCTCCCTGGCTCCCCTGGGGCTGGGAGGCCTCCCAGGGAGGAGGAAAAATTAAAAGGTAACCAACCAGCGCAGGGCTAAACTGAGAGTAAAAAGAATAAAGAAACGATACAACCTGAGGAAAAACTGCTGAAATATCAATTGAGAGGGTTTTGCTGAAAGCAATGGCCAGGAGCACAATCGCAATCTGCCTACTCTGCACAAGGCTGAGCATAAACTGGGACGCCAGGACTGGACACGTGATAGAAGAAGGAGGCGTCCCTTGGAAATTAAGCTCAGCCTACAACAGCAGAGACTGAAGCTCTACCCATCACTGGACGATCCGACCAGCTCTAAGGAGAATTGCCTAGGCTATTCAGAAACTATAGTTGGTACAGAATGCTTTAATCAGATTTGTAAATTTGGAATGCTGAAAACTGCATATTATTGTTTTTCCCCCACATATAAATTGGCATGCTCCTGCATTTACATTGGTAGCCTTGATCTCAATTAGGTCGCTGGAAGTCAATGAATTCATTAGAGCACAAAACAAGGCATTCTTTGCCATGGTGCTGGGATTATGTAAATGTTCCCTGGGAAACTCCATTGAGTTTTTATTTATTGGAAGTTAGATGGGCTGTTGCAATTTTTGTTTGTTTGTTTTATTGTTCTTTAGTTAAACTCCATGCTTTTATTATGTCTCTATTCAGTTTTTGAAGTCAGGTTTCTCTTGATGTTACTGAATATGGTTTAGTTACAAATTCCTTTGTGTATTTGTATATTTTTTTTAAAATTACAATATTGAAAGTGAGAAAGCTTTAAAGAGCTACAGAAAAAGTCCACTGTGCAGCAGGAAAGCCCGGTTCATTTTTTAATATCCTTTCTGTTAGGCCCAACTCAACAGAAATGGGCAAGGAACCAGAGTGCAACCAGAATTCAGAAAGATTCTTCCCTCAAGGACCCTGCAGTGACTCTCCTATTAAGTCATTCACTTCCATTTCTGAAGCCAAAGATTGCCTAGTGGACTTTAAAAAACAGTTGGCGATTAAGCCACGCACTTGGAAACAGACCAAAGCTAGACATCGGAACCAAAAGAAATACTGAGGTTGGCATCGTGGAGATGACCCCAAAATATGGACTCCACTGAGCTTATTTGGCAGAGACCTCAGCTCCCTAATCAACTGCAGATTTTCTTCTGTTAATTTTTGTATGAATTCTCCCAGAATTTGTCATGTATTGACTATGTACTTTATAGGTGCCTATTCAACCTTGCTTTGCAGTAAGAAAATAAAATGAAATATATTTATTATGTTTTTATAAACTTCAATTTCTGCTCTTTATGATTTTTAATACACATCTTTTTAGCTTAAAGACTGCATTTCATCCTAAATAAACAGTTATATGCTGGTCACCCATTTTGGACCCATCTCCCAGAATACTCCAAAAAGACCAAAATTGTGCACTTTCATGTTCTATTACTGGAAGATTTCATTCCCCTATTTAAAAATGTATTTAACTTTGACTAGAGCTTGCACTAATTCCCACAGAACCGATGGAGTCTGCAGAGTGATGAATAAAAAAGGCAAGGCTTACTTGGCCTTCTCTCCTGTGGGAGCAGGGATCATACCTCTTAAACCAAATTGGTAAACATGGAAGACAGACAGGTGTCGGAGGAGAAAGGGCGTTAGGTTTTTCTGTTTGATCAGGATAACCCATTTCTGGATTCTTTCCTGTCCCAAGATGCTTAATATGAGTATATGGTCGTATTCATCCAGCCATAAGGTCATGTATATGGCGCATGAAAATGAGGGGGAGGGGAGGAAGGGGGGGAATGGCACGGTGTATGAAAAATCAGACCAAGGATCAGATAGGGTCCTAAAGCTGCCAGTGATAAGCTCTCAGTTATATAACACCCAAAAGCTACATGAGGCCGTGCTATTAATACTGCAGTGATCCTCATTCTCTGACCCCCACTCCCTGATCTGCTACTGTTTTAATGTTAATTGAAGGCCACATTTGCGGGACACAATACGGAATGTAATGTATTCAGTCCTTGTCCAAAAGGGGTTTGAATTTCAAAATTGGGCCCAAGGGGTGCCTAACACAGCCGGCAGGGCGGCAAGAGCAAGAGATTTGCCCCTGAGTGTTCTGTTGCTATCTAATATTTCATATTTCTACCAAGTACAGTGCATTCTTTATACTTTATTTTGATGCGGAGGTTATGCTATTGCAAGAGCTGAAGGGCAGCTACAGGTAACAGTAATTACACATAAAACAGAGATCTCTGTCTCGAAATCGGGTTAGAGGCCAGAGAGAACAAAAGGCTGGATGTCATGTTATCTTAATGGAACTTCATTTTATCTACTATGAAAATGCTGGCATTGACATTGGCTGAAGAAGAAAGGATTTTTGCTGGCCTTAGAGGTGTGCAGAAAAAGGCATCTGTGTCATAACAACACCTTGGAAATGCAGAAGAGAAAGGAAGGGTCAGAAGAGCTTATCAACAGGCCACCCAAACAAGCAGTATACAAGTTGGGTTGGTTTTATCTTGGCCTATTTTATTTTCTCAGTGTTTCTAGTGCTAGAGCTACTAAACTAGGAAAGTAAGGTTTCACTTGGAAATATTCATCTCCTGTTATCATTTGTCCTGGGTACTTGCTAGCATTCAGGATCACAATTCATATGCTTTTAAAACCAACTGAGTTAAATGAAAGATGTCACTTGGCTGTACCATTTCAGGTTGTAAATGGGGAGTACCGTATTTGCCGGCGTATAAGACGACTTTTTTGCCCTAAAAAACATGCCTCCAAGTGGGGGGGTCGTCTTATACGCCGGTAAATACATTGTCACTCGGTGCAAGAGCGACGGGGGCGGAGCTCCGCAACTTGCGAAGCCCCTTCAAGCCCAGCCGAAGTCTCTCTTCCTCCTCCTCCTCCCACCCACCCACCCACCCTCCGCCCGGCTCGGGGCGCTTGCGGAGGCCAATCTGGAGGTGGGGTGGGGGTGGAGCGGGAGGGTCTCTGGCGGGGCCGCTTCGCCCAGCCAGCCCCGAGCCGCGTAATGGCCCGGGGAGTGGGGGGG